CCCCCCCCCCAACACCCCCTGGGCACACCTGCTCCCCTCCTGCAGTGACTTGCCTGGCTAGTGGTCGCACCCCCACCCGGTCTTCCAAGTCCGAATCCGTACGCAGCCCTCGAGTCCCCTCCCTCTCAGGCCCCTGCCCGTGCATCTCCACCGTCCTGTCCACGCCGTTCAGTGAGTCTCTACCCCACGTTCTTCAAATTGCTCCCCGGCGTGGGCTTCACTCAGACCCCCCTGCCTGCCTCTCCCCCTGCACCATGACAACAGCCTCCCCTCCACTTCCTGCTTCTCCCCCACTCCAGCCAGCTTCCTTCCTGGGAGCCTTCTCTAACACCTTCCAATATGGCACCCCGCCCACTTAAGACCTTTCAGGATTCCCAGTGACCCCGGAGGAAGTTCACACTCCTTAGTCTAGAGGCTTCCGGAGCCCTCAATCACCCGCCCCAGACCCATGATAAGAGCAGGCATTTTGGAGAAATCACGACCCAGCAGGCTGCGTGCTGAGCCCCTGACACACATCACGAGGGGGGCAGCACAAGGAGGAGCTTGTGGCCTGGCCGCCCCCGCCCCTTCACCATTGTATGCTCGCGGGCACGTTTCTGAACCTCACTCAGCCTCAGTCCTCTGGGCCACAAAATGGGCATCATATCTCCCCCATAGGGTGGGATGAAGGTGAAACGAGATTGGCCAAGGGGAGCACCCCACACAGTGCCTGGCACTGAGCGAGCATCGGAGGGTAGCCATTACCACGATTATGTGCTCAACCCTGACGTCGGTCCCCGGGGATGGGGGCCATCGCTGTACCCACCCTGTAGGTAAGAATAACGAGGCGCCATGAAGTGAGTTACTCAGGTCGCACAGCTTGCAAATGGCAGAGCCGGGGTTAGAACCCAAGCCCCAGGGGTCAGCCGCGCCCCCTGAACTGTCTCCCTTCCCGTCACTGGCTTTCTGTCTTTGTAAGAGTTCCTGGGCGTCCGGTGCCCCCCACACAGGACCTTACCAGAGAACTTCCTCTTTCCCTCCCTGCAGGGCCTTCAAGGCTCGGCCCCGGCAGCCTCAGCGGCCCCTACCCACGGCCCCCTCCAAGCCCCCGGACCGGGAGCCCCTCCATGTGGCTCTGGGCCCCAGCCTGGTCAGTGACGTCTTCATTGCTGCTCCTTGCTCAGGATGGCTCCCTGAGGACGGGACATTGTTCCTTCGCATTTGGCTTTCCAGCCTGTGGCCCAGTGCCTGATGTGGGAGCGGTTCAGGGAACACGGAAGGGAGGTCTAGTCCGTGGAGAGAGCCTACGGATTCCACCTCGGCCTCCCCGCCCCTTTGTCTGCAGCCGCCCCTCCTGCCCG